GTAAAGGAGACCAAAGAATCAAGAGACGAGGAGTTGCTGCGAATAGGAAAGCTGAACCTCGTTGATCTAGTCGGGAGCGGTAACATAGGAAGGTCTATTGCTGTCGAAAAATGCGCTAGAGAAGCAGGCGCGATAAACCAAAGCCTTCTCACTTTGGGTAGGGCTATCACAGCTCTTGTTGGCCGTAATCAACACATTCCTTATCGTGAGAGCAAACGGACGCGGCTTCTTCAGGTATGTGTTGGAATGGACTGACTTCATCTGTGTCGTTATCATACTTAACTTCTTTTTTTAGGATTCTCTTGGTGGTCGAACTAAAAATTCGATAATAATGACTATTAGTCCCAGTAATCTGTGTCTCGACGAAACTTTATCCACTTTGGATTACTCTCATCGTGCAAAAAATATACAAAATAGGCCCGAAGTCAACACCCGCTTAAGCAGGAAGGAAATGGTGCGGAGCTACAATGAGGAGCTTGAGCGTCTTCGTCTGGACTTAGATGCTACCAGAACAAAAACTGGTATCTTTATAGACGAACAACATTTTAATTTGATGCAAAATCAGCTCACGCATCAAGTATACTGAGCTCTTCGTTATATGGTTTTGTTTCTTTATTTTGCTTAATGAATCCTATTTTAGCGATTTGGAGATGCGACGCGAGGTTTTAGAGGAGGATTTGGCTGTGATAAATCTGTTGTACTAAGACTCTCAGCTATAAACTGATGAGCTCCGTTGTCTTAAGAAGGCTCTCGAAGTGGAAAATTCCATGCTCCAAACACAATTTGTAAGCTACCTCATCTTAAACTCTCATTCAAAAGATGAATTTCATTTACATGCTAGTAGTTCCGTACCGTTTATTTTATTCTTCCAAATCTTTTTAACTTTTTAAATCTCAAAATATTTATGTGCAATGTAAATCGTGTTTGTTTCACTATAGCCTTTTCATAAGTTATTTTTCCGAAGCCTTCATTTACAGGGTTGGTAGGACGCCTCGGAGGTGTGCGGGAGGTGGAAATGCGACGCAGGCGGTAGGTCGGCCCGCACCGCCGACACCTGCCTCGGAGGCGTGGCCTAACGTCATGGACTCGTAGAAGTGCAGAGTCTCGATGCGAGTCAAGCAGGCTATCGCAGCGGCCGGAGCTCGGCGCAGGGAGAGGACATGCCCAGCTATTCCATGCGATAGGGGGCTTTTGGCCTATTTTGGGCCCCTAACGCGGTCGCGTCGGGTTCGACATGTGCTGACTGAGTGTGGCTCTTCTTTCCTTAGAGCTGAGGGGAAGCCCACCGGATTCCGGGGCCCGTTTCGCCGGTCGAGGCTTCCCAGATGGGCGGACTTGTCTGCATGGAGAGTCCGGAGCAGGTGGACGAGCCCAGACTGCCGGACGAGCAGAGCTCCCAGGCGGAGAGGAGACAGTCCGTCTGCTGGGCATGGCCCGACTGATTGCTGAATGAATATATAATGGATAAATGGATGATGGATGGAGCAGCAGCAGCAATTGCTGCAGTATTTGCATCGTGCCTACGCGCCTCAGGTGGCCACGTACCAGTTGGCGATGAAGGGAGAGGAGGAGGAGAACACCTAACCA